TGTCTACATTCCACAAGCTACGCAGACAAAGAATATGGATCCCCATAAGAATGAAGCCAAATGCTGAACAGCAGGGAGGCTACAAATCAAACCCACACTTGCCACTAGACTGGACAGCTTCTGGGAAGCAAGCGTCAGCTGAAGCTAAAGGAAAAAAAGTTACATTTATAACTAAATTAAAATTACCTTGTATATACAATCGTATGAACCCCTTTTTCGAATGGCCTTCTGCTGTTGTGTTTTGTATTATAAAGCTCCATTCGTTATGAGGCCCATTGACTGGAAACTAACAGTTACAGCAGCAACTGATGTGGAGATGCAACAGAATGTAGTTAGGAAGAGAAAGACAAAATGGATTATATAGTTTGAAACGAACAGACAGTAATAATGTTTTACAACTAATGAGGCCTTAAATCTCTTATATAGAGAAAACTGCATGCATGTGTGACGCAGCATGTAGTTCATTGTGACATTTGCCTGTATTTCAGGAAAAAGTTGGGGGACTAAATCTGTTTTTCTTTCACGGCTGAAAGGGCTAACAACACCCGGCTAACCTTGCCATCTTACAAACGTCTTCAAATCTACCCACCTATCAGCTCACGCCAGCCATTAACGCTGTCAGAATCGTGTCAGCGCTGCTCGGGAAGCAACTGGTCAGAGGCCGAAAAACAGGTGTGCTGATGCAAAATGCAACAGAAATAACACATTCGACTCCACTTGAGGGACCAGTGCGAGCGGCTGGAAATGAGATGCAGGCAGAAATATGCATCGCTTAAACAAAGGAAGCTCAATCAGAACAGAATTCATTTGCATGAAATCCAAATCATCAGGCTCTGCGTACATCAATGGGGGAGAATCGGAGGGCCGCTGTTTCCAAAGGAAGCTCTTATCTCCATTGTGGAAGTGGATATGGGCGTGCTGGTTTGCATGCGGGCACATACAACATATGCAAATGAGGAATCTGCTCGCAGCGAAGGGCGAAAAACTTTTCCAGACAGCTGACAATCCCCTTTCACAGGGAGAGAACTCATAACCAGAAACAGAGGGAGCCGTGACAGGAATCGACACACTCGGTTCCCATGGAGCGCAAACGAGGTTTGAATATTCATAACAAGCATTTTGGCAAGGGCCTGTCTTTGTAGACGCGTGAAAACAGAAGAATACGAAGAAGATCTGGCTTCACCTGCTCTGAGTTTGAAACAAAAGCCAAGCAATGCAGGCTGAAATGATGTCAGTTTCAAGCTAAGAGGAGAGAAGAATGCTTATTAACCTGTTTATGATGGAATTCTTAATGTTTCCTATTTTCAGTTTCACATTTGTTTTTTGAAATAATATTATTTTTAATTATGGGAAAGGGATATATATATATCTGAAATACCAGAAGAAACTAAATTAGAGCCTTTTAACAATGCCCTTAATTTCCTTAACACACTATCATAAACCTATCAATCCAAAATATTAGTCTACAGTGTTAACCTCCCTGTGGCACTTGTGTGTCATGCCAATTTACTATTGAGTGTGTATATCTATATTTAAAAAAATGTTGTTAACACAGAAACAAGTTGCTTCTTTCCTGCATTCACACACTGTATGTCTTCAAGAAATCTTGGACCTATTCGCCTGGTGGTGGTTAATTGCACTGGATTTGCTTTTCAAGCTCAAAGGGCCATCAGTGTCACAGTTTCCATGAAACTTCAGGCATAAAAAATTTATAATAGCAGGGAACCATAATTAAACTCTGTTCTCTTCTGATAAAAATGAATTGCTGTTCTCAGTGATCACAGTCGTGCTTCAAAGCATGGAAGATAAAAGCAATCACATCATTCAAGTGATTACTTCTCAGGGAAGCTGCTATCAAAGGTAGAGAGAAACTATCTAGAGAAGGGGGAATTTGAAAACCATGGATATTTAAACATTTTATTACCCACCTCTGCACCATAAAGTTCCACAGACACTGCATATGGGCTATCGATCAGTTTTTTTTTAATTCATGACATCTGAAGCCCTACTGGCAATACCACTATGCAATTTTTACAAACCAGAATGCAGTCCTTGCAATGGACTCATTTGGTTTTGTAAAGAGATGACACTTAGGGCGGACAGGTCTGGCTTCGCACTTGCATCTGCCTTAGACAATGGTGTCTGCCACCTACAACAAGCTGACATGCTGCCCAATTCTTTGCAGCCATTAACGCATCCCACTGGAGGTGACAACTTCGCCAAAGGACGTCCTTCCCTGCTTCCTTGTGGCTCTACAGACTCCGGCAGATGACCAGCGCTAGAGGCTGCTAGGACAACAGAGAGACCCTCCCCTGCCTGTCCCTGTCTCTCCAGCCTGCCCGGCCTTTGTCAAACTTTGAGGTCTTAATCAATCTTCCCCCTGACCTCCGCTGACAGGAGGAAGATGGATGAGGAAGTGGGACACCTTTGACCTTCTCCTGTATTTGTCCCGCCACAGTCCTCTAAGGTCCAAACAATAGGGGAGGGACCTATTCATAACCGCTGGAGCCCAGGCCAGTGGAGTATCAATGGGCTTCACGAGGGCTGGGGGCTCCCTGTTGTGCAGACCTGTCACTTTTCACATATTCAAGGTGAACCTCTCTATTTGCCAAGCCTCTCAACTGGTTGCATATGGAAATATTAAATAGATAATCATTGCCTTTCAGGCTGGGACAGAAAACAACCTTTTAACCTCTGAAGAAGACAAGGCTGGCTACCCAGGCAATGGTTTAATTTGCTGCGTTGATACGTGAGAGAGATTATTTTCACTCAGCGGCCCTGCAGATGCATAGACAATGATCCACATGCTCATCCGCGTTGATCAGCTCTCGTCAAAAGCCGGATAAATCAGAATGTGTCCGTTTTCCAGAATTAATACTGAAACAACGAGCAATCCAGTAGAAGATTTTTTGTAGAAAAAGTATTTTCTAAACACTAATTCAGCAAAATAAATCTCCACATTCAACAATGAATGCTAATAAACTTGTATCAGTAGTTCTATATCAGGCACTTTAAAATCACAGATAAAGCCAATATGTACACTGTAAACAGTTTTTAAACCTAGATAATAAGGGAGTTGCCAAACCTGATAAGCCTCAGTAATGAAGCATACCATAAGAAGAAAAACATTTCAAAACCATTTAAATGCAGGCCCTAAAATAGATAAAAAAAAGGTTATTTAAGGGTTATCTGCTGATCAATTGGCTGTTTTAAAGGTACAGATCATTTTTTTTTCTGAATACATTTTTTGGGGTTCTTTCAGTGACAAAAAAGCACAGTATTCTGCACATTCTCAGGACCCACAAAAGGATCTTTTATTAAATGTAATTTAAGATTGTGCTTCAATCTCCATTTGAAAGGCAACAGCAATCTCCGTGAGTTACAACCTAACTCCCAGTTCCCTGTGACAGAAAGCTATAAAAAAGATGAGCAACACAGCCTCTGCCGCCCACTGGGATTGGTTGGTAATGATCAAGAACACATTCTTGAGATGCACACTGGAGCTGCCCTGCCATCTGTGATAGCCCACCAGCAAGAAAATCTCCCCACAAACGAGCAATCCTGAATAACAAGGTATTTGTCATGCAATTAGCTCAATGAGATAGAGTAACCCTAAAAAAGAGAGGAGTGCTGAGAGTTCCAATAAATTACTTTGGCCATGTATTGACCCCCCTGGAGAGCTGCCCGCTATTTTATGGAAAAGCAACCCAGTGCCATAAAACAAACTCAGTGCAAGAAGTTTTTGCCCCGATAACTGTGAATATCACTGCAGAGCTGTTGAACATTAAGGGTCATTAGCTAGAAGCACATGCTTGAAAACTTGTCGAGGGGACAAATGCTTCCTTAAGCGCTCACTGTGAAAGCTGTTTACTGTATCTACCCATCTCTGAGTAAATCACAGATCCACTTAACACATCTTCCAACACTGAGATGATAAATATCAACCCTAAAGAGAAATCTTGCTTAAAAAATGAAGAAAATATTACTAAAAAACATTCAGAAACCTTTTTTTGAAAAAACATACAGGAATGTGTATATTCACACATAAGTGTATAACTTCAAGCTTCTTTATTAAAGGAGTAAGTCCAGCCAAGATCTTCCTTCTTGGCTCTTAAAATAAATCAATATTTCTTTTTACAATTATTAAAAAAAAATTATCAATGAGATCTCATTTCCAACTATTTTCCCTGGAAATTAATAGTTCGTTTATAAAGTCCAACCCAATTCTGAATAGCTTTCAGATAGCTAGCTGAAATGAGTTCATGAAAACAAATGAAGACTTAATTCCACATTGCAAAGTATTTCAACACTTGGCTGGAAGGTTGAAATGTTTGACAGAGGAAACACATCTGAAGATGGTTCCACTGCTGAACCTTATTGCTTTTCTCCTTTCTATCTATTTTTTAGCATGAAATTAACCTCTGTTCTTATGTGTGCTATCGCAGCCTTCTACTTAAACAAGTTCATGCTGTACAGTGCAGTACATTGGACGTGGCTGTGAATTGTCCATTCACTTAAAACATACTCTTAGAAAACAATAAAGCTATAAACAACACAATTAGAAACGGAGAACATTTATGAAAAATTGCCCGTTTCCTCTTTCAAGGAAAGGGGAAGAGCCTTGCTTTGGAGAACTATTTATATCAGACAGGCTATAAGCTCATAGTCGTTCATTCCAAACACCACTGTGGTGAAAGCAGAGGAGGTACAGGACCTTCTTGCTGAATAGCTTTGCATGGGCCTTTTATAATTAAATAAGGCCAGGCAATTGGTGTCAACCCACTGTTGCTGTTTGTAATTTAGCATTTGTTCTGTCAGGATTTAAGCAGGCATTACACAAGCCACCTGCAGCTTTCAGGATTGTTCATTATACTCTGCTGTCCTATTTTTCATTCCCAGAGGGGCTACTAATTACTGAGCTCTACTCGATTTAGCCTCATCACAGATTCAATTATATATAACAGAAAATTGGCCACAGAGTAAAAAACATGAGCACTTACCTTGGCATTCCCCGTTCCGCTCCTCGTAGCCAGGGTTGCACAAGCAGTTGCCAATGGGCACTAGCCATTCTCCATCTGCGCCACAGTACATTTTTGGCACATCTTTCTCTTCGGAGTTGTTGACGCAGGACCCCCGCACCTCCACCAGGGACGAGGTGTCGGCCCCGGTGATCGTGTCAGGGAACTGGGCCAGGTTGCGGACAGTGAGGGGGCACTTCTTGTAAAAGACGCGCACCGACACCAGGGCGATGCAGGCTCCGACGTCCTGGAAGGCCAGGTAAAAACCCTTCCTGGTGAGAGGCCCCACGTCCCTCACCTCCGTGTTCAGCTTCATGATCCGGTCCCCGATGTCCACCTGCGTGAAGCTCTCGTCGGCCGCAATAGTGTCAATCTTCCCAAACTGGTTCTCCCGGATGTACCTCTCCTTGTCGTTGTTCGACTCGTAGTAATACAGGTTAAAGGTCTCTTTGCAAGTCCCCATGACCCCCGGCAGGCTGTTGCAGTCCCTCAGCGTGAACTTGATTTCAATATACACCCGCTGGGCCCCTCCTCTGGCGATCCAGTCAGTTCGAAGCCAGTTGTTCTGACTGGGCTCCATCACGTTGCACACCTGGTATGTGCGAATGGGGGTGTTCTTCTCATCCATGATGCTGACTTCCTCCCACTGTGAAGCCAAGGAACACAGGTTAGGTGTCACCGAGGTGGAAAGGTTCCAAACACACAGATCTGCAGCCTATGCGGTGCAAAGTAACCTGACCCTACACAGGCAGCTTCTCATTTAAGGCAATAAAATGGATTTTGACATAACTGTACTGATGCTCTTGAAAACAATTCTAAACATGGATGGATACACCCTCTCGTTAATTGTAAGACAGTTTACTGAATCCCAGTGTCAAAAAGGCAAAGTCTTGTTGATTGCTTTGTAATACTAGGGAATAAAAAAATCAAGAGCATACGTGCCATCCCATATTTCAGGCAGTTTAAACTCCTGTTACTCATCTATCAGTGTAAAGCACAACATCTTGTGAGAAGCAAGAAAACGGCTCTCTAAGTTAAAGCTGTCTACAGATATATTTTCTGCTAACGCGGGACCTGTAGAAGCAATCTGTCACTTTCACTTCAAAGCACCAAAGAATCAATGCCGACACTGAACGTAAGGGCTCTTATTTAGCACAGTCAGATATTGGTTCAGTGCTTGTGTGAATAAAATGCAGGAGATCTTCACATTCTGAATGCCAATTCTCAAAGCTTCTTTCTGGAGGCAAGTGTGACATATCTATAATGCAGCATAAGGCAAAAAAAAACACAAAAGAAATGTCTATGAGACGAATGTCAAAGAAAAACATATTACATTCTGCTTAGTGGTTAAACTTCTTCTTTCGAAAACAAAACGGGATTTTGCCTCGTGAATTTTTACAAGTTCAATCAAAACGAGGATAAACGGGAAAAACGGGAAAAACGAGGCATACAAGCTTCCTAAGCCACATATCGTCGGCATACCATGTACTCTTAAATTTTTCACAATGGGTATAAAAATAGCCTTCATATTCTCTGTTTTTAATGAAACCAGCCACGCCTGTCACCACTGCCGAAGAGACATTCCCGAGGAGGTCTAAATTAAGCAAGCTGTGACTTAAAAGAATAACGGTTTTTTTATATCTCAGAATAGGGCCAAAATCCTTCAAGCATTTGGCTATTTGCTCATTACTCAGCTGTAATACTTTACAGGCTGCACCTCTGTTCCCTCGTGGGGCAGTAAGAATGAAGGGGGAAATTAAAAAGGCTGTCTTAACCAGTGCCTCGTTTCTGACTGACAAGCGCAGAGGAAAGCGAGCTTTCATTGCGATAAAGCTGTACCTTTCCTGATTATCAGTGAATAAGGGCAACCGCTTGCAATCAGCACTCAATGTGCGCTGTCCACGCTGCCAGCGGCCTGTCAATCACTCTGGTCGCGGATAAAGCAGGCTCGGGGACGACATAGTGAGCGCAGACACAGCACAAACGGGAATTACAGCCAAGTTCACGGAGAACCAACAAAAAGCCAGGACAATGCTGGCTTCTATTTTACTGCTAATTCAAACTGCATCATAAAACGCTGCACAGATAAGACCGTCGCAGCTCTTGCTGGGCACAGCTCCTTCTCTGGACACAAGCCCTCGCTGCACCACCAGAATCTGAGCAGTAAACTCCGTAAAAAAATAACGCGAAAACGCGCTAAATAGTGTAATATGAAATAAACGCGTGTTACTGGTGTATCATTTTAGGTGTGCAGCGGGCAGTGCGTTTAGAACTCCATTTTTAGCTTGCTCTATCTACCCACCTCGGTTACCCGAGCTCCAAATCTTTACTCGGAAAACGACGAACAACTAAGCCTGTATTCAAGCACAACACACCTCTGGGCCCTGTTTAGACATTTTTTTTTCTTAATCTGAAAGCAGAACAGTTGCACACTGTTGCCTTATCGGAACTCCCATAGATATAGTAATTAGGCGGCCCAATACCTCTCCTTTCACCCAGATCACATTCCCTATCATTTTTGTAATCACTCCTTGCGGCAACAGCGAAACGTCCTTTTCCCCCTGTTCATGCCGCTGAGAAATCTGGATTTCCCAAGCTCCTTCCCCGTACCTTTCTGGGAATAAGTATAAGGTTTCCCCACAAAGAGCGATTCAATTCAGCGTCTGCTCAGGAAACCCGACGCCCGTAGCGGTATCTACTTCGAATCTGTTCTTCTTAAGAAAGCATGTTTGTTTGTGCCTGAGTGAGCGCAACTTTTAAGACTTCGAAAATTCTTACCCCTCCTTCCGTCGGGCTTGCTACCCATCCTAGTTCTCCTTGAACTGATCTGGAATCCAGCAAAGTTACTGTAGGAAAAAAAACGTTTACAATTAACTGAAATGTTTTCAACATCAAGTTAAAGTGAAAAGGAGCTGTCCTCTCCTTCGCAGGTTGGATTCATATCATAATGCCAGGTCTTTTCATTCACGGCATCAATACAAATAAAATACTCACACCTGTTTAAAAATAACAGCACATTTAGAAAGTGTGACATCGGAAATCTAAAGACTGAAAATGTTAAAATCTGCTCCACTGCAGTATTGTTAGAACGTCACTTAAAAATTGCTACAAAATACAAGACTCAGAAAAGAATGGTAATTTAATCAATTTAGTTGGACTATACGACATTTTATATAATACATTTCTGTTTAATATGAGAATATTGAATCAACACTCATAATGGTATCGTTATATGCGTATGTGATGCTTCAAGCAATCATTCCTTAATAGAGAGAAAACTAACAGATCACGGAATCGATCGCCTAGGAAGTTGATTGTTTCACAACGATAGAGATTCGGAAAGAAAACTCGTCTGGGTTTCCTGCGCCTCTTGATACAGCAGAGGGATCGCATTCGGTTCGATATACTGTAGTTTCGATATAGCCATACGTTTTTCACATTATGCTAATAATTACAATATACACTTTTATCTCAGTAATACGGTTAAAAAGCCTAATGACTTTTAACATTGTTAAAAATAATGAAAACGTGACGTGAATTTTGAAAGACAGATAAAGATCGAGAGTTAAGTCGAAATTTTAAATACAATATTCATAACTTTATAATTAAGATTAAGTTGCTTTTGGTTTTCGGCACGGAGTGTGGAAGCATAGCCAAGGTATTCACACAAACAAGTACGCTTTTAGACTAAATTATTTAATATCACAATACTTCGATTAAAGACATTCCTCATATTTTTCACATATTGGCGTTTCAGTCTGCTTTTTGTGAAAACTTTTTAAATACAGATCTCAGTTACTCAGTCAAAGCAATCTCCATTCCAATTAGTTCAAAGCAATATGTCAAGCTTGCAAGATCATTTTGCAGACTTGGGTAGTCTAGTAAATCGTTTTTAGGGGTCAAGTCCTCAAAATAGCCAAAAGGGGAGTTTAGTTCATGATACTAATTCGCAAAGGCAAAAAAAAAAGACTGCACAGGTACAATTCCAGGAGATCAGAAGCCTTACAACCCCATACCAATCTCGTTAACACAGGGAAAAACAGCAACATCAAGATTGTGCGCTGCATTCCGATTATTTCACGTCTTTAAACTGACTGGAAACGAGCGGGTTTAACACGAAAGCTTTACAGAGGGCATTTGACTTGATCAACCTTTCCTCCCCTTGAAAGGAAAAAAAAATCTAAAAATCCACGAGAAAAACTGAAGACCCTCCGTGACTATCGATTGTATTGCTTCCACCTTTTTTACTTGCTGTAATTACCCGTCAATAATTCAGTACGGGCGAACTTTATTTATCCTGTTGGGCAACTTGTCCACATACGTCCTAAGGTAGCCTGCGGTGAGCGATCCTAAGTGATATCATTTCTTGCTTCTTAGAAGTCCACCAACTTCTCGAAAACCGATTTCTTACCTTCATTCGGCGGATAGATCCGTGCTGGGGAAACAAATGTAGAAATCCCAAACAGAATAGAAGTCGCAGTATACAAAATCCCAGCCATTTGTCTCCGTTTCTGTGCGCCCTGCTTCCACTACACGGATCCAGCTCGGTCTATCCCTGTGGAATATGTGATAGAGTCCAGAGTGTTGCAGGCAGTACACACTGCCAAGGGGCGTTTCTCACTCTCTGACGCAAGTGTCAATCCCCCCCCCAAAAAAATCAAAATAATCATTAACAGCGCCCCTCTCTGTGCCTATCAATTCGATCAGAGGCAATAAACATGATCTAAGCATTGCAATCCGAATCGTTTGTAAGCACCTTCATCCACCGCACGACCAGGCTGTATTTCTTGCAGACACGCTCTTTTGCAAGAGCACTGCCAAATATCATGATGATCCCTTAATTTGCAGATTAACCTGAAACAGCCTGTCAAGATACAACGGAGAACCGCGCTACCTTCTACTGCCTCTTTTGCCACAGACGGATTACTATCTCGTATTTCCGTGGCATTTGGTATATATTTCGTTTTGCGGTTGGTAGCGAACTTTGTTTTTCAAAATCGTTTCAAGAGTACCGAAAAAAATCCTGAGGAGTTTTGGAAAGGTAGCAGGTTTCGCAACACCGTTATAAACAGGTTTCATCCTTGCTAAGAATGGGATGAATGACGTACGAGGTGAAGAGTCCTAATCAGAATCTTCTGAAACATGAAACATTATTAAGCCTAATAGACAAGTACAGCCGAAGGCTCTCATGAATGGGTTGTGTGTGTGTGTGTGTTTTTTTTTTGTAACACTAAACCTTTAATCTTCTCGGTGTCTCCTGAAACATATATTAAAGCTTCCGTCATTATCATTCTTACTATATATAATATGAAAAATGTGTTTAAAGTATTATATGAACAAGTAAAGTTTAAATCTACACCGAACAGTAGAAATAAGAAAGTTTCGACTGTAGAGCCTTCTTCAGGTGTGCGACGCAACTATTTTTCTTTAGTCTAACATAAGAGGGATAATAAGTGACATAATTAGCGACACCAATAGGACTCATCTTCCAGTAGATGAATCCTGTTTGTTTGAAAGTGAGGAAAGTGGCGGATAACGCACCAGATTAGTCTTTAGCGCATATTATTTATTGGCGGGCCGTAATGGACAGGCTAAAGGCTTTAAAAACAATGATGCCACCTAGTGGAGGATACAGGTTTATCCGTCATTGGTTGTATAACGCAAGAAGGACAGTTCAGGAAACGCGAGCCCCTTGCTTAAGTTGTAAATTCGTTCTTTTTATGTTTTGAAGACAGAAGTACAAAAACACTGAGTAAAAATTGCATTTATTTTAGTAAATATGAGGTGAAGACATGTTGGCAATTGTTTTTCTAAAAATACAATAAAGCGAAAAACGATTATTTAAGGCACTAACACTTTCCCAGAATGGATCATTAAACTGTAAAATACATGAAAATAATATTGTAAAAAGTACAATCAGCCATAATAGTAGTAGTACTGTGCTCCATACATTCAGTATTAGGCTTACTGGAGATGAAATTTACCACTGAAAACATGCCCTGGGCAGTCTTTAAATACGTCTCTTACAAGAAGGATACTTTATTTCTTTGCTTTAAAACATGTGGAAAGCATAAAAACTGTCCGAGAGAGGACCCGAGGAATACCCCCAGAACGAAACGTGTTTTCCAACGACACCAAATGTTTTCCGATAATGTAGTTCTTGTTTCTGCGTTTTTCCTCCGGTGTCTCTAAAACATATAGAGAGAGAGATATATTCAAAGAAACATTGGACAAAAGACGCGTTCTAGAATTCCCATCGGAGCTGCGTTCTCTCTGCGTCTGTCAATGACTCTATTTCCCCGTCCACCTACTCGGGTGATGTTTGTCTCCCATTCAGTGACAGGCATCGTGGGCCTGCGGGGAGAGCTTTCTATGGCTTTCGGAACCTCCCGTGGCTCCTGGCTAACCAGTCTGCAGCGCGTCAGGGGGGGAAACACGCCAGGATCGCTATCTTGTTCCTCCAGTGTGCCATCGAACAAGTCAGCAGAAACCTGAACAGTAATAGTTACATTGTACTGAGAACAAGCCCTTCCCACGCTATTCAGCCCACATCCTTTTACGTCCTACACCTTGTGGGCCTGAACGACCGATTTAGCCCACTAGAACCTAGTCAATCATTTCAACAACAGCAGGGGTGTGACGTGAAGCTGTCGAAGGTAGTATAAAACAAAGCAGATTTTTTTTTTAGAGGGGTTCGGAAATCTGTATGCTTGCGTGATGGGGTTCGGGGTAGGAGGGGAGGGGTTTGTGTGTTTTAGGGCCGAAATGTTCAGTTGGCTTTTGCTTAAAACGACCTGTCTCCACAACGTGAAGGGACTGAACAAAGTTCTGGTTCATTAACATAGAGAAGCAGATGTTACGAATCAGCACACGTGAATAATGGTTCTCCTGACTTCGTTTATTATTATTTGTTATAAAACAAAAGATACTTAAAGTATAGGACGTGGCTCACTGCTGTAATACATTTCAGCATATCAAAATAACGCACACTCTAGCTAAGCATCTGAAAGGGAATATTCCCTACGAGCGACGCGCGTTGCTCCGAAAAATAAATGGCCATTGAGCTGCGCTTCTGTATTAAGACCCAGTGAAATGTTACAATAGGGAAAACATCTGGCTGGCACATCTAATGTAGGCCCTGTCGTATAAAAAGTGTTGTCGACTGTATATTTTTATATTTTATCGTAAAATGGTGAGATTACAAAATAAAACTATCAATACAGGTTTAAAGAAATAAGGGTCATATTTTTCATACTTGGAACTGAGCCATTGGAAGTTACTGCAAAGAACATACATTTAGGAAAGGGTGGCTTAAATGTCCAGCATTAAAGAATAAATTGCAACATATTAAAACGACTACAGCAACAGTCGCCAAGTCTAAGTCCTTGCAACTCCTAATAACAGTATAAGAGACTTTCTTGAACCTTGCAGTGCAATCAGTACTATGTTGTAACATCGTGTTCAGTTAGTGGAATACTGGGTACACGATTGGGAACGGAAACTGTTAAAACAGAAATGTTATCACTGCCGTCATAGGAGAACTTCTCCCTTACCTGAAGCAGAGTTACTATATTCAGATTAATGCTTAGATTTAAGAAAGTATTTTGAAATTCAGTATTTGTGGTCTGAATTCAGGTTTTATTGGTCTTAGCTTGTAAACCTGATACAATTTATAATGTACCCTCGTGTTTTAATTAATTGCACAGTTATTAAGCTTCATCCGTAGAAAGACTTACTTAACTATCCTATCGGTGAATATTAAATTCACTAAAATTCAATGAAAATGCATTCTAAATTCTGGAGCCCCTTTAAAGCAATTATCTTCAAAGCAACCTTGAATAAGCAGTTTTTAATTAAATGTTTAACATTCAGCATAATGTTAGATTTGTAAGCAAAAAAAAGTTTTTATTAAATTGTACCAGTATGATGTGCAACCTTTGAAGGATAATGGACAGTTAAATGTTTGTGGATTTGTTTTAGGACAAAATCGTTTCTTTACTCTAGCTTTTAACTTCAATTTGGATTTTTGAAAGGTAGACAACAATGGTCTTATTATTAGTGAAAATAGTCTGTAAACAATTTGTTTCATGCATTTCATCTGCACTGTATTCATGGCTCAAATCAATTGAAATGTCGTAGAAAGTGATTAAAAGCAGAGCTTTGAGCATTAAGGCACTTAACTGTAGTGTTGTGTACAGTGAACATTTGCTAGTTATTCTAAAATGAAGCAAATTCAAATGCAGTGCAGCTGAATTGCCTGTTTAAATGGTATTAATTTTTCATTTTTGCTCTAGTCTTTGTTAGATTGGTCAATTCAGACAAATTAATTTAGACTGTTTATTTAATGCAAGCTTCTGTTAAGTAAAACAGTTTACACATTTGCATCTTATTAATGTAAAACTTGATAGGGGGATCCTAACATTTATTATTATGTGCTGTACAAACATATGTATGTAACAAATACTTTAGTAATGGAATGAGTTATAAATTCAACATCTAAACTTCTTTGCTTAATTCTGCACTAAAGTATCTAAAATGTCATGAGTGGCACAAAGGCCATTTTTACTTTTCACTTTTGTTTGTTCTTCCACTGTTCAGACTAGAAGAAAGGTCGGCTGTAGGAAAAAAAAATCCCCAAATTAAAATCTGATACAGGAGCAGGTGACGCTATATCTTCGTCATCTCCGACGTTGGTCGTGTTGTTCCGCTCGGTATTGTGAGGGCACCGTTGCCCAGGCCAAAAAATCCATACTTAATAAAGAGATCACGCAGCATCTGGAGGGTGAAGACTCGTAGCGTACAATTGAGTGTCAGTGGAAATGAAAGAATGAATGCTGTCAGGCTGTACGATAGGCTGCGCAATTATAAAGCGCGCATTAGCGAAGGGGGCGGAGGAGGGCCGGGTCTGGAGGGCTCGGCCAATGGGGGCCGAGATGCACTAAAATATCGATGGCGAGGTCTATTAAGGGAAAGCGCCATTGGGAGTGACACGCTGCGGGCGGTGGGGCCACAGCGGGCGCCGGTCGCATTAAGGCTGTTGTTTTCGGTTATTTGTGTCACCGTTTTGATTGATGACTTTCAGATAATTCCCATTCTGCGATGTATCTTACAGCTTCCATTTGCGGCCAACCTCGGTTTTGTTCCCTCAAGCCCGGGGCCCAGATGGCATCTGCCCACGCATCTGCATTGTGAGGCGCTAACAGAGCCCTCCTCTGTTCGGGGGGATTGAAGGCGCTCCTAGATGAGTTGGCGGCACATAACCGCCGACTCAAAAGCACCCTTCCAGATCGAGCCGTTTCACCACAAACCCCCCCCCGGCCCTGCCTCGCTCTCTCTGTGCTGAGGCCCGTGCATTAGAGAGCGACACTTAAGTCCAACCATGCCATGGAAACAGAACAGCTTGCAATAAAAGGATGAAAACACATTTCCGAACAGCTGAGATGACCCCGTGTGGGTGTGAGGGAGATGGAAACAAAGGAAGAAGGTGTTGCTCCGGCTTAGAGTTTTTTTTAGGGGGCTTAGATTTGTACATCGGTTGGTGGTGTGGACCACCAGCTGTGGAAACAAATGAATGAGCATCCAGCTTGTTTGTGACCAGTAAAAATGAAAACATACTTATCATGACTTGTGACCATCGCTACTTCAGGCTAAACTTGAAAGATTCTCACTTGTTTCAAGAGTCTCAGGGAAGTTGTTTCAGGGCTTATGTGAAGTGTGGTGGCAGCAGTTTGTTTAGGGTAGTGTAGGTGTCATAGAGTCCTAGAGACGTTTTATCATGGATAATGGATTTATTACGTATAAAACAGCGCCAAAGCAGAGTTGAAGTGAGGCAACTT